TAGTATGTGCATCTGCAAGCACATCATTATCAAGAAGTTCAATGTAAAGGCTACAAGAAACAGCCAAATACAATGCCAAAGTGGATATTTGCACCCAACTGCCAAGAAAGTTTGCTTTGAAAATAGACACCTGAGATCAATGAAGTTACTTTGATCAGGCATCTTGTAATTGTGGGACACATTGCTCTGAGTATGAAACAGCTTTAGGCAACTCTCAGTTGCATATTTTAAATAAAGACTACACAAAATATGAAGCATCAAGAGGATTTTAACAAAAGGTGACAATGATACTATAACCATTACTAGAGGAATGTGAACATGTTGGACAAGAACATTTTCTTTTGGGGGCAAGACTAACTACATTTCAAAAATCTGTAGCAAAATACTCTGTAGTAATAAACTTTTAAACAAACAAAAAAAGAATCTTCACATTCTAAGCTAGTTCTGTGGAGCTAAGATTCCCTCAGAAAAAGAAAGGATGACAAAATAAGTACCTTATTTCCATTGGCAGCTATGGGATTTTTTGAATTATTTTTTCCTCACTGCTTCCTAATGATTTGAACATCAAGTTCTGAACATAACCAACATCCTTCCAATAAGAGAACATAAGACAGACATCACCAATCTCTGCCATTCACTTGATCACAAGTTTTGCAGCAGAACAGCATGAAATATTTCAACTGGGACTTCTACTACTACTTCTACTTAAACTCCTGGGACTTCTATGTATTTATTCCGTGCTGAGAGCTGATGCCACAGGCACCATGCTTGGCCTACTACCTGCTAGAAACCACAAACATGCTCTTCCTTTCTTCAGAGTGTGGACAGTGAGAAAGGAATGTGGCGTGTGCTCCTCACACCTGCCAAACAAAGTCACAGAGTGCAGGAGACAGCAGAGCTGTAAGCAGGGAAAGCTGTGTAGGCAATGGGAACAGGAGCCACGATGAGCAACGCTGAGGTATCAGTGGTGGCTTTAAAAAGTACTTCTGAGCAGACACACCAAAGCTTAGAGCAAGTGGAGCCAGGCAAGAATATAGAATAAGAGCTACTTTACTACAGTTCATATAGTCACAATTTGTTGGAACTGTTTTCTGTGTATAAAATTCTGTCATTTGCTTTCACAAGCAGCAAGAGTTACCTGCTGTGATTCTACCAAGCAATATTCCTCCTTCTGGCCAAACCACCACAATGCCTGACTTGATAATAAAATGACACAGACATATTTCATTTCAAATACCTGTCACAGTGATGAAAATAACAGACCTTTCTGAAGGGAAACATAGTTTTTAAATCAATATTATATGTTGTGTTGAAAGATATAATACTTGTAGATCTTGTATCAAGCTTTTATTGTCTGCTTTGTTCAGGTTGTCACTGATTAAATAAATGTGCTACGAGAGCAAACAGGAGATAGAAAAATGGTTGCATTGCAAAGGTTGCAAAGTATTCAAAAGAGAAAAAGAGAGCATGTTCCTGTTAGGTAGATTTATGCTGCAACCATGAACATAATTGCAAATATATTTTTAAACATATTTATTTGCAAATATAAAGTCCTACAGCAATTGCCATGATAAACAGAAACAATCTGTCAAAATAGGAGGGTGTTGGGTTTTTTAATCCACAGCACTGGAAACACCCAAAATTAAATGAATCCTTGTCACTGGATTTCTATAAATACTTAATTACTTAAATACAATAAGGATGTTCTTCTATTATAAGAGAATTGTGCAATCTTTTACAAGAGGATATTCATTACTTTCTAACCATCTGTCACTTCAGTTCTCCAAACACCACACCTCCCCAAAAAATCTAATTAGTTTTTATTCAGTCACACATTATAAATGATGCTAGTGTGGATACTGAAAATGTAGTTTAATGAAGTTAATATCAAGGCATAATGGAAGGCGGTTTGCTGAACAAAATGGACCAGAAGGCAAAGAAAGCAAAAGTCACACCCTGCTAATTCTACTACACATTTTTCATTTCTCATTGACTAGGAAATTATTGGCTAATAAGCAAGAAAAAGAGAGCAAACAGAGTATTACACATAAACTTACAGGTAGTAAAGTTTTCCAGCAGCTGGAAGCACTCGTTTCCTGTAGTCTATTCCGGAATCAAGCTGGACTGTGCTGCAGTATTTCTACAGAGACAAAAAAAGGAAAAAGAATAGCTTTCCTCAAGCCAAAGCTGTATTTACTATTGTCTGTGTCACAGGGAAGACACACTGCTGTGATAAACCATCGGCATGAATATCATCTGCAAAACTGAAATTCTAGAGCACAAAATTGAAGTCTCATTCACAATTATCAAAGCAAAGAAATAAGCTGAAAATCATCCACATACTCCAAACAAAAAAGTACCTGTTTTCACAAGTCCATCCACTACAAAATGAATACAGATTAGAAGCACATGGAATGGAATGAGGGTGAATATTACTCGTTCTCTCTGGGTGGTGTTGAGGGAGTGTGCAAAAATACTTACTTGCACGTTGAGGTATATACATAGAGAACTACCAAACTAGGAGCATTAGAAGTAGTTTCTGTTGTTAGAATTTGTTTGTGGTCTGTTAAACTTTTATTTTATAAGTTAAAAATAATTTCATCTTTTCTTTCTACTAATAAGATTAAAAATTTTATAAGTTACACATCAAATATATGAACCACCCCAAGCGTTGCTGCAAAATGGACCAAAGCATAACAGGGAATAAACAAAACTCTGTATCAAAAAGATTTTGTTTCATTTTTGCAATGTCTGAACTGACTCAGAAAGGATCTTTTTTGTTCCCCTTTAAACAACCTGTAAGATTCCAAGTGTGATACAGATGTCCCTGAGTAGTCACCATAATTGCTTCTGTTAGAAAACTCAAACCCAGCTGTAATAAAGGATGCTTTTTTTTTTTATTGAAGGCCTAAGGCTGAGAGCAAAATTCTCACCAATATCAGCAGGATCAAGACTTTACACCCTCTAGCAAAGGGAATAGCTCTGCTTATTTGCTATGACTACTGCCAACATACACAACTTCGCAGTGTTGCATAGCTAGAAGCAAAAGAAGCTATAGAAGAAAGGGAGGAAAACTTCTAATATTTTAGAAAATATACTTCTATCAACAATTTAATTAAAGCAATAAAACTATTCCTTTTGTAGGTAATTCAACACCACTAAAACTCTTTGGATTGTTAGAATCCACTAAATCACTCTGCTTCTTCACTGCACTATGAACTATTAGTTTGTCTTTAATGCTCTCATTAAGCAATTCATATTCTGTGTGTCAAATCTTTCAAAGCCTCCTTGAGGCCATTCAAATAGCAAAATTGGAAATGTCAAGCCTCATTTATAGAAACTACATTGCAGGGAAAAGATTTAGAAGCACTATCATCAGTGATTTAAGGAACAATGGCCCTTTCAAACAAACGTGTGGCACAGGACACGTCATTACAAATATCTGCAGGAGCGACTGGGATGACTCGTTGCACTAATTTTTTACCCTTGGCCATTACTGAAGGCTCTATGCCTATTTTAAACCTCCAACTTCTCTGTGAAGACAAACAGCTGAAGAAAGAAGGTGGAAAAACAAATCACCCTGAAAGCACAGAATCCCAGCAAAACCCATGTGTCTTTAATTCCAGTAAGTGAAAAAGCCATGCTAATCAAATCATTATCTCGGACTAAGTCTATTGCAAACACAATAACATTGGTGCTACAATATTATTATAATCTATTCCCTTTCTTTTTGGGAGAGCTCACAAAGAAAGGGAATAACAGAGCAGAAGAAAAAAGTTCCAGAGGCATGTAATAATATGCACAAGGGAGGGAGGATGTTTAAGCTTCTCTTCAGCATCAGCCTGGCAGACAAGGCTAGAAGGAAGATTACTGAAATTTCACAGCAAAGCCAGTGCACTTAGCTTTTCTTAGCCAGCATCTCTCCACCTAATGTTTTATTTTTCCAAAGTAGTAGATTAGCTTAAGTACTATTTTCTTCATGTTAGCAGGAAAAAAAAGCCCTGCAGATTACTATTACAGCTTGGAGGGCTACGAGATTACTTAGATGAACTTTAGATGCTCAGATATTTAGTAATGCCATTTATCATTTTGGGTGGACTTTTTTTCCTGGAAACAAGAGATAGGAAATTTTCCATGAATTCAGCCTCATCTCTTTGGCCTTACAATCCTGTGGCCTTATGGATTTACAGACTCGACCCCTCCCTCAGGGCATTGTGCTGCATATAGTGGAGAGTGAACACAGAGCTACATATACTTAAGAGCATGCCATGGTTATGGTAGGGCTGAAAGGACAGAATAAAGCACACCTGAACACTGTAGCTGATGTGACTTTGCTGTGCTGATATTTGCAGTGGTGCTGGTGGCTCAGCTGCTCACAGCTGCTGCGTGGAGCAGACAGTCTGTGCACTCAAATACAGACTGGTCCTGGGCTGTATTGGGCAGGTCACTGCAGCTTGATCAAACAGAAATCAGCCCTCAATGCCACAGTATTTTAGTCCACCAGTGTTCTGCTTACAAACTTGTCACTCCTTAAATGCACTGACAGCCTTTTATGTCTCCATGATTTAACACTACAGAGAGTGAGTTTTGGAGGTAAGAACCATAGAAATGTAAATGCAAATACTACCAATACAGCTATGAAGAAAATACATTTTTTTGCCTTTCTTCCCTTTTCTCTTTCTTTCTACAAAGTAATTAGTATTATCACTATTCAGGAAAAATTGCTATCATTAGTGACACTAGTGAAGAAGAGCTTGTGTGCTTAAAAGCTTATTTATGTTTTGGGGCCCTTTTTAAGCTACAAAGAGTTGCCTAACTGAAAGATATTTCTTATCCCTGTAAACCTTGCTTGTTTGTCTACACTGATATACTAGTATTGATTCTAATATGACAAAACATTATATAGCTTATTTCAAAAATATCTGTTAATATTCTGGGATATGGAACATTTAAGCCAGAAAGGCAATAGCAGAATCCTGTTCAGAAATCTATAAAATACAGTTAACATCATCCTACTGTTTTTTTTATTTCCTTAGGAGGCAAAAGTCAACTGAACCAAATATAAGCAAAATTAAAAACCAGGATTCTGATGTACTGCAGTCTTCTGTAAGACACAAGATAAGCACAGAAGCAGAGGGCAGTTAATACGAACAGAGAAATACTTAGCCCTTTTGAAAACATTCGGTATTTTATTCTCCCACTCCTTGGATGCTCCTAAATAATTTATGGTTTTGGCCTCTCCAGACTACTGCTCAGTTCAGGAAGGTACTCTAGCCATTTAGAGATCATATTCCAAATAAAAATAAAACAGCCACAAGAATTTCCTAACCCTTCTACAGGTTCACATGAAAGTATCTACCAATGCTCATCACTAATTATATCCACTGAGAGACTTCAGAGCTCATCCATACCTAGAATAGACACTGTATAAATATACACAAAATGAAGAGCTCCTGCCATTAAACCAAAACACTCTAATCTGCATTGGAACACGCTCTCAGAAAACATTCCTTTCAAACATGATTCCTGCAGCTGGAATAAGCTTTGTGGGATAAGAACAATCTTCTCTTATGTGACTATATCATGAGCACAGACCCATAGGTGCTTATAGAAAATAACATGACCAAAAAACCCCAACCAAACCACCAAAACAAAAAAAACCCAGAAGTGGGCAATGCTGTTTACACGAACTAAGCTCTATGTAGTAGAGGAGAGAAAAGGTGTGATAACAGCAGCAGTGAAGGGCAGTGATGGGAGGAATGTTTGTACTGCCAGAGGATAACAACACCATCTCTCCTCTAAGTTACAAATTTACCAGTGGAGGTGGTTCTAAGGGACACTCACCACATGGTCACCTTCACTCAGAGTCAGAAAGGTCACACAGAAGCTGTGTGCTGAGCAGAGATCCAAAAGTTTTTCCTTTAAGCATTTCCTTTGTAGACAAGGGTACCCACCACAGTTCTCTGTTTCTGCACATACAAACACTCATGTATCTGCACTATAGGAAGGCAGAGGGCACATTTTTCGTATTTGTACATACTTTTTTTAAGATAAATGTTTAAAATGTTAAAAAGACTGCATATAATCAGAATGTGTAACAGAAGTAGACAAAGCACACCAAATACTGTCTGCATCCAAGCTAAACACTTAAAATACTAGATTTACAAAAATGAAAATGAGACACATGGATGCACAGTATGGAAGAACAAATCCTGCTCACGAGTGTAGGAACGAAATACTGAAGATCAGAGAGGGTGCCTGTGTGAGTAAGCACCATGCATCTTCTCTGCTCTTCACAGGTGTCAACAACATTATTCTCCTGCATCAAGAACTAAAAATATCAATGCTGTAATTTAAAACCCCTGAAGGTGTGGGGAGAGAGGGAAAGGTAAGCTTCTCTACTTCTTAGCCTTCACATTCCTCACAGCATGAGGAAAACCCCTACTAAGATTAGATACAGAAGTTCTAGTTTCTCTCTCCATCTTTGGACTACCTCATCCAGCACTGGACTGATTAAACCCTACAGATGTGATTGCATCCTCACACTCACTAATCACCATGGAATCCTAATCAACAGCCAAAGAACTAACTGGAGTGCTCAGATTGTTAGCACTTAATTGTCAAACCCCCAGACTGCAACTATTGGTTTCCATTTCTTTGAGTTTTAAACTTTCAAATTTAATTTACTTGGGCTCAGCTTCTGATATAAATACTTGATACTGAACCTACAGCCTGTCTAGTTTGTTTTTGTGGATACATCCACAGTTTCTGACGGATTTTTCTATTCTATTGAGACATTTCAAGTGTGGCTTACCCTATTCAATTCAAACACATCAAATTAATTAGTCATACAATTTATTTTGAAGTCATTTATGTATTTATGTATACAAAGAACAAATACAATTACAGAATTCAAAACGCAATTAGTAAGTTAAAAATGCAGCATGAGCAGGCACTCACTGCCACTGAAGTGGCACAAAGACATTGTATTCCAGAAGAAAAAAAACATAAAGCCTCCTCAACTCTAGACACAACACCTAAAACAACAATCTTGAGACAGAACAGATAAAATTAGACTGTCAGTAGACCTATTGCAGAAAGTTATTTAGTATAGACTAATAAAAATACATTTTTCTTCCTATAAGCATCTCTAATATTCCTTTGTTGCTGCAATCAAGAATATGTAACTGCTTGAGAAATTAAAATACACCATGTGACAGGAGGCTAAGAAGAGGAGCAGAGATTTCAGAAGATTTCAAGTCACAGTTAACTGGAAAACCTGCAAGTCCTCAAGATGTGCAATTCCCACGTGTCACAAAAAGCCCTGAAATGCTTGTGGTCCACATTAAACACGGTACTTAAATACCATGTGCCCCTGTGAGCTCAAATATTGTGATCAGCTGATGACCCTTGATAATGCAGGTGAGTAGATATTTCTTAACCTTACTGAAGGTCACCATAAGTCAACCCAATTATCATTCTCTGCTCTGAATTTTAATGGCATTAAAAAAAAAGAAAACAAAAAAATACACAAATCATCCTGTTGGGCCACAAGAACAGACAAACTAATCACCATGGAATACTAATCAACAGCCAAAGAACTAACTGGAGTGCTCAGGTTGTTAGCACTGAATTGTCAAACCCACCTATCTGAGGACCTCCAGAGAATGTACAGCAGAACAGAAATGTGAGAGTGCTTCAGCTTAGGATGATTAGTACCTTAAATCTCACACCTGCTGAGTTTCCACAGCCTTTCACACATGGGTCAAAGCAGACACCTAGAAATGCAGTGGCAGCACTGCAGCTGCAGTAGCAAATACATTTTCCATATGAGCAAATTAGAGTGGAGTCCTATCCCCAGGCATACAAAGCTGCACAACTCATTCTCCTGGGCCCTGTGCAGTTCTGAAGAAGCACATTAGAACACCTCTTATTGGTCACCAAACCATGCCTAGCTAAAAAGTGCAACTTCTACCCACTCTTTCTGAGCAAAAGGAATCAGTTTTCACATAGGCCTCATCCTTCCCTTTCCAAGGTATCCTCTGACTTGGTCTCTGTTAGGATCACTAATATTCCTTTTCCCCAGAAAATCAGAAAATAATGAGATTGTTCATTTGCAATAATTCTTACATTTACATCCAGCCTAAGAGACAAAACCTCTCACATCACACAACATGTAAATACATGACGAGAGCCCTCAGCCAACAGAGGAGGAAGAGATCCTCAGGCAAACAGAACTCACTAGACATAATCATTTTTACTTTTCATTATTTGGCTCCATACAGTGTTAGATTATCAACTAGAATATTATTTTTGCTTTCTCAAAATTCTTCCTTAAGGGGTTTCAAGAGAAGGTTTCCCATCCAAAGGACACAGTTACAACTGGTGTTTTCCATAACTGTGGTGGGAAGGAATCGTCTTCAGCAAGAATGTAGTGTGTAATGAACAAAAACATACTCTCAATGTCACCCAGAAGTGACAGTCACCAGCCTGTTTCAGAATGGGAAACTGGTCCAACTGGGAGTCACAAGCTGGACAGGTCTGTCCACAGCCTGCTGAGAGAAGCATAGGAGGCTAAGTGCAATGTTTCCTCTCTCATGCAGCTCCAAAAGATCAACCAGACCATTAGCCATGAGCATGCATGGGACAGGTGCAGGACCTTCAAAGGGCAGTTCCTTTCATCCTTTGGCCTTGTTAAAAGAAGGAATGTACATCAAGTTTCTAACACTCCTAACTTTCTGCTACACAGATCCATAGGATACACTCAGGTTGAGGGGGAAGGAGAAACGGAAGCATCAGGTATTTGGTGGGGGATAAAAAGTTGGTCCAAGCGTTGTTGGGTGTGCATACAGTTTTTGTCTCTCTGTTCAGATGTTGTTGAAACAGAGGACTTTAAAGAAAATGTCAATGAATCCTCATAAGCACTATACATGACCTCTGGGGTAATTAGCAATCATTCAAAAGCAACAAGACTAAAGTGTTCTATTCTTTATTACTGTCAGCTCTTGTCTTGATCAGCATTTTAATAAAGATGGTTCATTGCTAAGACAGTTTCATGAATCAGTCATAATTACATTCTGACATGCAGTGAATAGTAAAGCAAAACTAAATATCACTTCATCAACCTTTCTAACCTTTATGCAAGTATTAACTGTAAATAATTTTTACACAATCTTACAACAGAAAATCTGCATATTTCTTAGCTTTGTACATACTCTGCCCTAAATGAATTTCCTGTGACCTATATCTGAAAAAAACCAAACCCCTTACAATCAGGAATAATTACTTAGTCTTGCATGATATTCAGGTATTGCCTTTCACAGATCAAATCAACTTCAAGTACAAAAGGCTATTTGTTCTACAAAACAGAGCAATGCTTTAAGGGGTTAACTAAATTTTTGTACAGTCTTTTCCCATATATTAGTCTTCATTATTCACCTAATGAAATATGGGAAACTGCTACAATAGCCTTAGATATTTCATGCTTATCTCAATTGCAAACACTGTAACAAAACAAAAACAAATCCAAAGAACCACACAAACAAATTTTGAGGAAAACTTTCTAACTGTCATCCAAGAATCCTGTACAGTATCAAGGAAACTAATCATGCTCAGATTGATTTTGGATGGCAAACAGTTTATTTGTGAATTATTTTTTAATGGACCTAGAGCACAAAGATCTGGGAAAAGAAATACTGCCAAATGTACTATTTTTGATCAATCTTTTTCTTAGACTGGTGACAAGAACATTTAAACTGAAGAGTTTAGCAGAGATAAAGTGAGAGGCAAAATTCATTCAGTGAAAGTTGCACGAGTTTACATTACAGCCTTCAAAACCTGAACAACCAAGAAACCTCACTATTCTTGCTACCACGAGGAACATACGATCCATTATACAACTTTTCAATAACTTATTTTAATGCCCAGCTACAAATCAGCTACCCCCTAAGAAGAGGAAAAATAGACAATTAACTTGTAAAATAATGGCACATGAATAAAGACAGAGACTCTTAAAATGCACTGTTCTGTGAATAGTATTTCAGATATTCAGACAAAAGTGAAAGAATTCAGGAGGTACAGATGTGGCTGTGCCGGCTCAGGGACAAGTAGCCTCTCCTTTTTCCAGTCAGGGAGCAAAAGAATGGCAGAGTAAACTTCCATGCAGTAAGAATTACCCTGAACAGCTCTCCCCAGTTCACATCACTTAGGCAAAAAAAAATCTTCCTTGCAGAATAAGTATGAATACAAAAGGAAAAAAAAAACAACCCTGCAACCCACAAACCACTGTACAGCATTCAGTTTTGCTAAAAAACCAGTAATGACTGTAACTTTCAATCTCCAAATAAACAAGCTGTGGCATTCTGTGAAAAACAAATGCCAAGAGTTCAAGCTGAATTTATAACACGATGTTTTGTAAGCTCAGGGTCAAATTCACCCCTAATATATGTACTTCATTGGAATTATACCCTGGACGAAGTTATTTGTCTAGATTTCTTTTATGCTGTTGTTTTTCTTTTTAACATTTGATTTGTATTTCTTTTCCCAGTATTAGCCTTTGCTCCTGCCAGAACTGTTGGCAGGCAGGAGAAAAAAAAAAAAAAAGGAGGAAAAAGTATTGATTTACAAAACTGGATTTCCCAGAATAAAATGGAAAAAAAAGCGATTAAGATCTAAACAAAGGCTAAAGATGGCTTACGCTTAGCTCTGATGAGGTCCACTACCTCATTACCAACAACTGAAAACTTCTGATGCATTTTGTTTCAAGGGAATCCAAAAGTCCTTGCTGTAAAGCAGGCTGGGGGGTGCAGGGTCCATTCACTCCGTCTGTATCACAACCATTATGTAAGAAGTATAAAACACTGCCTTTATGCTGCCAAACCACAATGACTCTTCTTACATCAAAGCATTTTCACCACTAGGGTTTTTTTTCCTCTGAAATTTATTCAAGCCAAGGGCAGGGAGACAACAATTCATACACGCTAATTACACCTAATTATCTATTCCTTTTTTTCCCCCCCTTTCCACCAGCTTCGGCCAGTGCTATTTGCTATCTGGGTTTCTCACAACCTCCCCTTGCCCTGTCCATCCAACTCAACAGTAAAGTCTTTGAAGAAAACAGTTGTGGCTTCTTAGAATTTTAACAATATAAGGTTCGACTCAAATTAAATTATTCTATTATTAGTTTTGACACATTTATGTGTTAAATATGAAGGCCTCTCGGTTAATTTGGCAAATTCCTCACATCTCTTCACGACTAGAATTGCTCGTAACACCCTCTCTTGTAGGAGCTTCTCCTCATGCTTTCTTTTCATGATCTAAATGAAATGTTTATTGGATTAAAGTTCTTCTCTGCAGACCTCCACGGTGGCCTGTGACAAAGAGCTTAAAAGCTTTATTAATTGGCTCGGGCTTTTTGGGGGGGAGGCAGGACCTCATTTCACATTACATCACAAGCAAACAGAACTGCCACGTGTAATTAGACTAATTTACC